GCTGCTCTGTGCCTGCCACCCCAGCACTGCTAACCCCAGCACTGTCCCACGTTCCTGGGTCCCACGGCATGTGACTGGGCTGGACCCAGCACCCAGTGACAGGAACTGCACCCTCTACCAGGCTCTCCTATACCCCAAACCCGTCACTGGCACGTTCTACTAAGGCCATGGTAAGCCACCTAACCCACGGAAGGCAGTGCCAGCTGGGATTCGGGGCGGGACGGGCATGTCTCTGAGCTGGGGGGCCGCGCTCTGTACACACCAACATTCCCAGTCTCTGAATCCCTTATCCCGTCAATGTGCACAGCTGGACAGGCGGTGAAGGAGCTCAGCGCCCTGGGGGAACTGGTTTTTGTTTTTTGGAGTTTTTTTTGGTCGGTCGTGGGGCCTGAACTCTGGGCCTGGGCGCTGTCCCTCAGCTCTTCAGCTCAAGGTGAGCACTCTACCACTTGAGCCACAGCGCCACTTCTGGCTTTTTCTGCTTATGTGGTGCTGAGGAATCAAACCCAGGTACCACTGAGCCAGCTTCCCAGCCCTGGAAATGGTTCTTAAGGGACTGAAACATTTACCCCACTGCAGATAAACAACGGAAAGCCTCTATCATTCACTGGTTTCTCACACGGACCCCCTCCCCAGACACACCACCAACCCTCCACCAGGCTCCGCGCCACGCAGCCATGTGTGTCACTCATGTGGCCACCTGCACAGCAGGGGTCTGCCAAGAAAGCAAATTTAACCTCTGTACAAAACTTGGTACACAGCACCACCAGTGAAGGCCGGTCCCACAGGGCAGATCTGACTGACCTTGAACCCAAGGGACTTGCTTTACTTTGGGCCAGTGTGAACTTCATCGCATGCAGAGCAGAATGTACCTTTGAGCGGTTAATAATGCAAACAGAAACTATGCCACTGATAAGCGATGTGTTGCGTTCAGGGGAGCTGACAAGCCTTCCCACAGCAGGGCGTGGCCCTCACTCACCTCCAGGAGCCTCAGCTCCTGCACGCAGCTGTGCAGCAGCTCCAGGGCGCGCTGCGCCACCTCCCAGGGCCGCTGCAGGAAGAGCAGCAGGGTGCACTGGCGCGAGAACAGGTAGCCGCGCAGGTCCAGCAGGGCAGCCTCCTGTCTTTGGATCAGCCCCCGCTTCTCCATGTCGATGGGCTTGCGGAGGCCCAGTCCGTGCCAGCTCTTCACTGGCCGGCAGAAAAAAGTCAACCAGTTGGCCCCGTCTAGACAAACGACATCATCAAAGTGCTGGCTCAGGTTTTTGCCCGAGACCGAGAAGCTGGGGAAGAGCAGGCCGGGACCCTCACACCCCCTCCCCCACCACCCTGTCTCAGGCTACTGCCACAGCCTGGGGCACTCACAGGGCTTCCTGTGAGGCCCGGCACTGATGGCTGAGCCCAGGGTCCTCACCCAGGCAACAGCACAACCTACTTACCATGCCCAGAAGGTCCCCAAGACGAATGGACTGTGGACTTGAGCGCACCTTAGCCATGTCTAAATGCACCCCCTTGTACAGCCTGAACCTACTAGACCTCCTGGACACGAGCTGTGTGTTTCTTTGTCCCTTCCTATGAGCTCCGTGAAGGAAAGGGCATTTTGTTTCTCGCTGGCAAGACCCTTGACAAGTGCAAAGTCAAAGCAATATTAGCATTCAACTGCATGACTTTGTCTGGGACAACTTCTGGATTTTTTTTTAACTTCTGGATTTTAAGTGGCCCCACATTTATTTTTAAACTGAGAAAGCCAACTAAACATTTAAAATATAAGACAAGTGTTCTCAAAGATGTGTATGCACATAACATAGATACACAGCATAAGAGAAATGAATACAAGCTAGGCACTGGTGCCTCATGCCTGTAATTCTAGCTACTCAAGAGACTGAGACCTAAAGATCCTGGTTCAAAGCCACCCAGGCAAGAGAGTCTGTTAGACTCTTACCTCCAATTAACTATCGCTACCCCTGAAAAGCTTCAAGTAGAGCTGTAGCCCAAGTGGCAGAAAAGGAGCCTTGAGCAACACTACATAAGACCAGCACCCAGGCCTTGAGTTCAAGCCCCCAAACCAGCACCAAAAAGGAAAGAAGAAAAAGGAAAGAGGGAAGTGTTTCTAACTTTTCTGATTTTTAATTTTTAATAGTTTGCTTTAGTTAACATTTACATTTCCATCTTAGCAGAGTAAAATATCCAAACCAGACCTTCCAGAAGAGTGCTCCACTAGGAGAGCAGCTAGCATAGTTCCAGAAGGGCCACAGACAAAGGTGAGCTCAGGCAAAACACCCGCCAAACGCCATTTCAACCAACAGAACCTGGGTATGGGCACACACCTGTCATCTCAGCTACACAGGAAGCATAAGATAGGACCGTCACAAATCAGGCCAGCCTGGGCATAAAGGCAAGCCCTTTATTTTAAAATAACTCAAGTGCTGGGCACTGATGGCTCACGCCTGTAATCCTCACTACTGAGAAGGCTGAGCTCTAAGGATCGTGGTTCAAAGCCAGCCCAGCAGGAAAGTCCCTGTGAGACTTTCATTTCCAGAAACTGGAAGTGGCGGTCAGGCGTGTAGAACGGTAACCCTCTGTGATCTCTCAGGACAGACCCAGGGGAGCTGGCTGTCCCAGCACCCTGTCCCCCCACAGGTTCTCAGCAGGCTTTGCAGCCCCCTGAACCACTTCCTTTCCTCAGACACAGAGGCAGGAGCTCATGGAAATGTGTCTATCACAAATGCACTGCATGGAAGCCAGAGGCAGAAAACAAGTCATCCGTCCAACAAGGTGCACAGCAGAAGAAACGCAGAAGCTACAGCGAAAACATCTCACCCCTGGCCTGGCAGCGAGGAGAGACGCCAAGAGGGCTAATAATAAGAAAAGCAGCTGAACAGAGATGTCCGGAAAATACGAAGCACTTCTACCAAAGCAATGATGATGATCATTCACTGTTTTCTCTCTATATGGTTCACTTTCTGGTTCTGTAATTTTCGGAGAAGAAATTAGGATAACTGTTTAAACGTTTCAAAGGTGCTGGTGGTTCACACACCTGTTATCCTAACTACTCAGGAGGCTGAGATCCAAAGATCATGGTTCAAAGCCAGCCTGGGCAGGAAAAGTCTGGAGAATCTTATCTTCAATTAACAATCAAAAGGCCAGAAGTCTCTAGAGCTGTGGCTTAAGTGGTAGAGTGCTAGGTGGAGCAAAAAAGCTCAGGGACAGCACCCAGCCCCTGAGTTCAAGCCCTGGGACCAGCATACAAAAAAGCTTAAAAGATGGATGAGCGCCCATTGTAACAGCATCACACAACGCATCAGAAAGAGACCTCAGTTACCACACAGTGAGACAGCGGGGAGCCAGCACGTTAGGAGCACGGGCAGCATGCTGCTAAGGTCCAGAAATCACACTTCCCATCCACCTGCAAAAGGCAGCTCTGTACGTGCTGTTGTGACCTGAGATTCTTCCATGCCGGTCCTGTGTGTGCCAGGCCTAGGTGGGACTGGGGCTGGAGCTCTCACTGGCTTTTCACTCCAGTTGGTGCTCTGCCACTTGAGCTACTTACTGTCTTGTCTGAGAGTCTTCTAAATTTGATAGTAACTCTTTTTTTTTTTTTTAATCTTTAGGTGGTGCTAAGAACTGAACTCAGAGCCTCGTGTTTGCAAGACAGGTGCTCTATGTCACGAAGCCACACCCACAACTCCCTTTTTCATTGGTTATTCATTAGACAGTCTCATTTTATGCCCAGGCCAGCCCAGACTCCAATTCTCCTATTTGTGATGCTGGGGGTGACAGCAGAGCGTGACTGGGCCTAACCGCTGTGCTGCCCCGACAGCTAACAGGTACCAGACACCACACCAAGCCACTGGCTGAGGTGGAATCTCACAGACTTACACCTGGGCTGGCCTCCAGTCATGATTCCCCCAGCAGCTAGGATTATAGGCTTGAGCTACAGTATCAAAGCTGACAGCGATCATTTTAAATTCTCACTCCATTTCCTGTAGGAATCCCATGAATCCATCCTTAACATCCTTGCCCCAAAACAACAGCAATGATGATCGCTGGACAGATGTCCGTGAACTCAGGGCAGAATACACAGAGGCAAAGGCACTGCCCCTGAAACATCTACTCACCCCCAGCCCCAAAGTTGACGACATACTGGGAGAACAGGGCATCCAGCTCATCATACTGCACCAGGGCATCTTCAAACTGCTGCAGCATCTCGAAGACGAAAGCCAGCTCCTCCTGTTTATCCGAAGAACATCCATCAGCTTACAGAGCCACAGGCAGCCATGCGGGAGGGAACAGCGCTATGCATGGGAAGGATGCTGAGCACTGACACGCAAACCCCTCCGATGACCACGGCTCCATCTACGCTCGCAGAGGGGTGGGGGTCAGAAAGAAGCAGGAGAATGAAGCCAGGATGACGTCAGACCTATTGGCAACACAGGACTCCACACATCACCATCTCGCCTCTTCTCAGCAAGGCCTCTCTCCCTCCCTCCCTCAGCTCCACCTCTACAGTCCTTCTTCCTCACACGTGGGAGCACATGCAGCCTCTTCCTGGGTTGCAATGCTTCTCTGCACTTTCTTCATATATCCATATGGCTTGCTCTTCACCTCCTTCAGGCTACTGCTTCCAGCTAGGCCTCCAGGCCTCCCTCAACACCTCTGATCCTCGCCCCTGCATGCCATACTGCGGGCTCCTGGCATCTTCCATCTCTACTCCTGAGCAGGTTACCATAAGCTCACTGAAGTTGTGCGTGAACATCACCCAGTACCGAGGAGCACTGGGCAATGTGCACAGCCTGTGTGTGTTGAAGGAAAACATACAGAGCCGGGTGATTTTCTCCTGATTTCCACCGTTGGACAGTAAAGCAAATGACTCGCACACAAGCGTTTGCTGACACACTGGCATTCACAGGTGGGTACTCTCTGTTCTACCTCCGTGTTTGTGAATACCAACCTGACATCTACAGGCCAAGCAGTGCTCACTGGGCAAGGACCAGAGACTACCCTGAATTTCAGACAAAGGCCAGATCCAGACTCCAGCACTACCAGTCTGCAGCCGATTCCTTATCTGGACAGTGAAGTTCTCCCGGTAGGAGCCCCTGGGTGGATTAAATTCCTGTCTCATAAGGAGCAGAGTCTGGGCATGGCCAGCAGGCTGACTGTGCTCTACTGACCGTGAGTCAGAGGGCAGGTGAGAACCCTGGCCTGCAGATTCCAGCGCTCTAGGACTCTCCAGCTCCGTGTGTGTTGCTGCTTCTCAGAAACATGCTGGTGGATGGTGCTCCACATGGAAAATTACTGGGTTAGCCTCACCTCCTATTCTTTTCCTTTTTTTTTTTCTTTATGAAATACTTTTGGGAGCGTGCACTCCACCTTTCATTTTGGGGTGGCCTCAACCTCCCAATCCTCCTGCTTTAGCTTCCCAAGTATTAACACTACATCAGGATCTCCCATCTTCAAGTGTGTAACTCAGACGTTTCAAGTATACTCACATTACTGTGCAACCAAGTTCCAGGATTTTCTCATCACTCCAAACTGAAACGCTGAGCCCGCTGCACAATACCCCTCTCCCCATGCTGGCAGCTTCATCCTACTATCTGTGGACTAGACCCTTGAGGGGCCTGTCTGGGTGGGGTAAAGTGGAGTCCCACAATGTCCATCCCTGACCTGCTTTTCACTGAGCATAAAGTTAAGTTATATCCATGCTACAGCACGTGTCAGAACTTTCTTCCTTACTCCTTTTTAATTGTGAATTAATTTTGACTTAGAGAAATATTATCCCACCCTGTGCTAGTGACTACTTAGAAGGCTGAGATCTGAGGATCAGGGTAGAGAATCCAGGAGACTCCTATCTCCCAATTAACCAACAAAAAAGCCAGAAGTAGAACCATGGTTCAAATGGTAGAGCATGAACCCTAAGAGAAAAATCTAAGGGTCAGGACCCATAACCTGAATTCAAGCCGTAGGACCAGCACCAAATAAACAAATCTTCTTACGAGAGAGAAAAAGCTGATGGTGAACTCTAACTTTAAAAGCTCCAACCACCTTAACACATCTTTACTGAAAGCCAGACCACAAAACAAGCTATGAAACTGGACTTAGAGGTTCACACCTGTATTCCCAGAGGAACAGAATCATCCACTCTGGTTATTATATTGTTGATTTTTAAAATTAGACAAGTGCCGGGTGCCAGTGGCTCACGCCTGTCATCCTAGCTACTCAGGAGGCTGAGCTCTGAGGATTGCGGTTCAAAGCCAGCCTGGGCAGGAAATGCTAAGAGACTCTTATCTCCAATAAACCACCAGAAAACCGGAAGTGTTGCTGTAGCTCAAGTGGTAGAGCGCTTGCCTTGAGCTGAAGAGCTGAGGAACAGCGCCTAGGCCCAGAGTTCAAGCCCACCGACCAAAAAAATAAAATAAAATAAAATGAGACAAGTGACGGTTGTTCCAAAGGCTGTTTCACTAAAAGGGAAGGAGGAGGTAGGGCAAGGAAAGCTGTCTGGTCTCGACTGAGCCCAGTACCTGCACCATGAAGTATTCACAGAAACTCCATCCTGGCTCTGTCCTCTTCTCCCGCAAGGTTCTCATGTCATCTTCAAACTTGCCAAGGTTTTTGGTAAAAGACATAAGCAGCAGCGTCCTGAGTTTGGTCAGGAAGGCATTCCAAGATTCCTGAGTTCGAGAAGAGTCCTTCAAGGGGTCAGAGAGTACAACACACCTGCAAAGATGTACACAGGGGTCTGTGAACCTCAGGCACGGAGCCCTGGCCCAGTGGACCCTGCCCTTCAGCTCTTTGCTAAAACGCCCACCCTCCTTCTGTAGTCAGTGCAGACCACATCACACCCACATCACACTTGGTTCCCTGCCGTGGTTCACCTGTGCCTTGCAATCTCTGCCAGCTCCTTACAGTGCAGACGACACACGGGCCACAACCCAGCCTTGGCATCGGGCTTCAATTCCCTACGTCAGCCGGAGGCTGCGGAACGCATCGGGCCCGCGGGGGCCTGGAGCACACTCCTGTATCCCTCCTGCCTCCTGGGAGGCCCCAGCGAGCCCTGCTGTACACCAGCTTGTGTCATCACACTGAACTCAAGGAGAGAAGGTGCTAATCGATATGAAATAAATAGAGCTGACATCTGGATGGGAAACAACTTAACTTAAAAGAGACTGTCACAAATGCTGGAGGGGATGTGGAGAAAGAGGAACCATATTACACTGCTGGTGGGAATGTACACTTATACAACCACTTTGGAAAGCACTCTGGAGGGTCCTCAGAAAGCTAAATATTGACCTCCCTTATGACCCAGTCATACCACTTCTAGGCATCTACCCTGAACAACAGGAACCAATATACAAGGACACGTGCACCTCCATGTTTATTGCAGCATTGTTCACAATAGCCAGGATATGTGGAAACAACCCAGATGCCCCACCACAGACGAATAGATCCAAACATTGTGGTATCTATACACAATGGAATATTATGCAGCAATTAAAAATGAAAAAATAATGGCATTTGCAGGGAAATGGATGGAGCTAGAAGAAATCATGTTGAGCAAGGTAAGCTAAGAGCAAAGAGACAAACGGTACATGGTCTCTCTGATAAGTGGATGCTAAATCCAAAATGTTAGGTGATACGACAAAATTAACAGGACTTAAGAAACAAAGGACTTCCACTCATCTGGTCGAATCACTACTAAATAACCCCATGCTGCTGATCACATGTATGGTGTATATGTGTACACCAGAGGGGAACCAGGAAGACGACACAGAACTAGAGGGAATCAGGAAAAACACAACAGCGGGACCCATCAGCTGCACTGGACATTGACCAAAATGAACTAAGCAACTCAATGGCAGCGATGGGGGGAGGGAACAAGTGGGAAAGAGGGAACAGCTGACGCTATGCAAAACAAAAGAAATGTACACATCACTCAATGTGGAAGAAATAACTGTATCGCAAAGCTCATAGAACTCATAAATGTTATAGACCACAATAGACAATTTGCTCCAGGAAAGTTAGAATGTGTTTGTGACTTTAACTGAGCATCACTATCCCACAATACTGTGAAATTTGGGAAATTATGTAACCACTTAATCACAATAAAAAATTTGGAAAAAAAAAGAGACCGTCACTTGGCAAAGGTGCCCAAGTTAACACAGGAAACTTCCAGTGGCCCGGAAAAGGTAGAAACAGGACCTGTCTTTTGTCTTGCTAGAAAGAGGAATAAACCTGAACTCAGAAGTGACCTGCAAATCCTGGAGAGCGTCAGCAAGCCTCTTTAGTGGCTCTTTCTCCTCCGCTGCCGTCATGGCAAATGCTTGCTGAGCTCCAGCAGGACTGCGCCAAGGCCAGCTTCCTCCATGGGATCACACAATCTCCAGAGAGGGCAGCTCCAAGGACACGGCCTACCAGCCTGTCCACCACTCACCCACCTCACACAGAGGGGCACAAGGAGTGTGAGAAAGGGTCCTTTCTGTCTAAGTAGTTTGCTTCCTTTCTGTTAATCTTGAGAGAACTGTTTTCCTGAAGGGTTCCTGCTTTGGCCAGGTGGCTTGGCCACTGTTAATTACATCCTGTTCCTGAGTACTTTAATACATCCTGTTAGCAGCTCCTTAAATGTTAGTTGTATCTTATTAATTAAGCAGGAAATTAATCTTGCAGACTGTGAACCTGAGCTCAGCCGTGTGAGCAGGGTGGGGCTGCGCGGGGAGACAGGAGTGTGCTCAGTGTGCCTGCCTGTCAGATGTTTGGCTGACGGTACGCCCTTCTGCAGAAGTTAACTCGCCTTGCCAACCTCCTTTCCAGTTGGTGTGTTTATTCCTATGTGACACCAGAAAGGGCAGAAGCCAGGGCAGCCACCGCGAGGCCCCAAGGACCAGGGAGAACTTGCTACCCGAGGGGCTGGGTCCCGGTGGTTTACCCTCACCACACCCTCAGGGTTAACATTGGCTACGCTAGTCCTGACTCCACACTACCACGAGTGGAAATGAAAACAAACACCACACGGAGCACCAGTGACCCCAGGGGCAGACACAGCAGGCTTGGTACCCTCAACCCTGTCGGTCCCCCCTCCTCATGAGGCCTTTCAACTTCCTCTAGGGCATGGTTATCTCTCTTTTCTAAAAATAAAAAAGAACTAGCCCAGAAATAGTCCAGAGATTCACAGCAAGCCTCGACGGCTCTCCAAGAGGGTGCCCCAAACAGCGGCGATCCGGAGAGTAGCAGCGCCTGCTGGGCAAGGGACCCGCATGGGGCCGCTGCTCTCGGGGCGCATGCAGTGAGGAGCTGTCCATACCACCTGAGTGGGGCACTGCCACCATCAGCACGGTGCCAAGTCAAGCTCAGACTGCAGGCAGGACTTCCAAAACTCAGAGAAGTATGAAACCTGTGCTCACACCCAGACATGCTGCCACAAGCAGAAAGCAACCACTAGACACCCCCAGAGGTCTGTATTAATAACTATGGTACATCAGTACTATGCAACACTAGGCTCCAAACAGTAACGGTACACAAACAAGTCATTTATTGTCTCTATGAAATGTTTACAATGTCCTGAGGGAAAACAAGTATAAACTATATATAGATGATATCGCCTTAAGACACACAGACACACACACAGATATAAGAAAAAGAAGCCTAAAAATATTCTCTTCATTCATTTACTAACAATTCTACAAAGAATGTGTTATACAACCAAAAATTAAACATAATTACAAAGCTAAAAAATATAGTAAGCCACTTGAGGGCCATGTGTTCCAATATGTTCGAGGATTGAAATTTGTATTGCATAAAGCAAATGGTCATTCAGACACTCAAATTCAACTTACAAAACTAAACCAATTTTTTTTTTTTTTGGTCAATTGTGGGCCTTGAATTCGGGGCCTGGGCGCTGTCCCTCAGCTCTTCAGCTCCAGTGAGCGCTCTACCACTTGAGCCACAGCCACTTCTGGTTTCCAGTGGTTTATGAGAGATAAGAGTCTGGCTTTGAATCATGATCCTCGGATCTCAGTCAGCACCTGGCTCTAAACCACTTTTTAGGTTAATAATAAAGTCATTTGTCAAAAGGTGCCTTTGCAAATTAATAAAAATCAAAATGTTCAATGTTCAGTTTAATGTGTTGACTAGCTGAGACTTTGTACAGATTCACACTACCGTTTACTTACTACAGCCCTGAGCAGGTATTCCTCTTGCTGAGTTGAAGCCAGCCTCCACCTGGCCTGGTCTGGCTTTTCACCCCAGGTGTTGCAATGCACTCCTGGCTCCACAGTGGGCCTGAGTCCCGGGGGGAGGGGCTACAACATTATCTAGCCCGTTAACCCTGATCCCTCCCCACCTTGTCTACAAGTCCACCCGTGCAGAATTCCTGGGAAATAAGCCATAGCCTCAATCTAGTATCTGATCCAAACCATATATAAACCAAGTTTGAGCACTGCGATGTGTCCAGTAAGGGATGAAACATGAAAAGGTGCCTGGGCCGGGGGCTCACACTGGTAACCCTAGCTACCCAGGAGGCTGATCTGAGGATCTGAGGCGACACTGCCCCACGAAAGGGCCAGGTACTAAAGGAGTGACATGGCCCTGGCTAGATGGCACTCCAGGCTGCTGCTCTTTCCTTACCAAGTGTGCTGGGCACGTTCCAGCCCACTCCTGGAGCAGGGCACGGCCCTCGTGGGTTCCCTGTTGCAGGGAGAGATCCTCTGGAGATCCTCTCTCCAGACCCCTGCCAGACAGTGACCCCTGCAAAGGATGGCCTGATTTACAGACAGGGTTCAGGCTTAGCACGATCTGGATCCTCAGTGGCCTAGGAAACTCCACTGCCAGCCCGGCCATCAGTGACGTAGGAGTCAGAACCTGGGAGGGCCAGCAGTGCTGGAGAGGAGGCAAGCCTAGGCACAGAGGGAGAAGGCGCCCCATGCGGCTGAGACGAAACTGACATTTTTACCACGTGGTGTTTAGGAACTCAACAGGTGTTATGGGAAACACACACTGTCCTTGGGTCGAAAAGGCAAAGGGTTTCTACACAAGGATTTCAAGACCTCCTCTTCCAGGCTTCAGGAGAGCCCATGTGGCCTTCCCTGGTCACAGGCCCAGGAGCTCTCCAGCTGGACTCAGGGCCAGGGAGGGGCACAGGCCACCTGCCACTCGCCGGGCCCTTGGAGTCCAGTCACCGCTGCCTGCAGTGGCAGCTAGTGCCACCACGGGAGGGTGGGGTTAAGACACACTCACCTAGGGCTGGGAAGGTGGCTCAGTGGTAGAGCGCTTGCCTTGCATGCTCGAGGCCCTGGGTTCGATTCCTCAGCACCACATAAGCCAAAAGAAAAAAGCGGAAGTGGCGCTGTGGCTCAAGTAGTAGAGCGCTAGCCTTGAGCTGAAGAGCTGAGGGACAGCACCCAGACCCAGAGTTCAGGCCCCATGACCGGACCCAAAAAAAAAAAAAAAAAAAAGACACACTCACCTGTCACTCTGTTTATTACAGAAGTCATTTCTTATTTTGTCCACAATAGAAGTACGAGGAAGGATGTTGGTTTTGTTTTTCTTCTTGGCATCATTTTCAACTACCACAATGAGCCAGTCCACGGAGCTATGGGCTTTCAGAACATTCTGCCACTTGGTGAGGTCATCTTTTACTGTAGCTTTGTACACTTCAGTATCCTAACAATAAAGAAGTCAGGTGAAGCAAGGTGCCGGATGCCCCGCAGGGCCCAGGTGCTGCTGTGCGAGACAAGCACACACAGTGATCCCAACACCCCTGCGATCGCCGGCCCCCAGGGCCGCCAGACACAGCACCCGGTGCACAAAGAGGCAACATGCCCATGAAGCGACGTGGCGCTTTCGTCAGGGCCAAGCACCACAGGACTGGCACACTGCCCCAGGTTAGCATTATCCCCTCCTTTGGTCCTCAGCTCCACCCAGACCTGAGCTGCTCCCTGCCCTGGAGTTCCCGCCACACACGCCCTCTGGGCCCAGCTCTCCCCCTTCCCCACGCCCCCCCCCCAAGCTTACCTCACTTCCGCCCTCACTTCCACCCCCAGGCCTGCCCCCACCTGGACAGGGGCCGACACCACATGCTCCCTCCCTCTCCAGGGAGATATGGCCCTGCTAATAAACCTTCCAATGGTCTTTCTTCTGTGCCTGCCTCCGAGAGGTGCCCTGGAGGGATGTGAAGGATTCTTACACCCATGCCAGCCTCACGCTTGGGAAGATGTCCACAGGAACCCAAGCAGGCCTCCTGTAACCTGCGCTCTCTGTGAGCAGTAGACACTCAGCTGTCACTTGTTTCCCCCAGTACTGGCATTAAACTCAGGGCCCTGTGCTTGCTCAGACTCAGATGGCACTCTGCCACTTGAGCCGTGCCTCTAGCCCTGTTCTCTGCTGTCTATAGTCCTTCCTGCTTGGGCTTTTTCAGACAGGAATCCTCCAGATCTCAACCAGTTAAGTACCTAGGATCACAGGCATGAACCACCAGTACCTTTATGCACCCACATACGAATTCCAGTTTTCTGTAGAAAATCTAAAACTATGACCATAGGAATGGATTAAGGCTGGGGGGGGGGGGGGGGGAGCTAGCCTGAAATGTTCCAGGCCCTACGGACACATAGACACACAAAGGTGTTTTACCCATTTCAAAAGCAAGCATATAAAAAAAGGAAAGTCAGTAGAAACAGCTTTGAAAGCAATGGACGGTAAGTCAGCATACACTCCCCTCCTTAACAGTCCCACCTATTGTCCTGCCTGCGCTCGGTGGCTTTCCTGTCACTCTTAACACTCACGTAGACATATGCATGCTGACTGACCCATAAGCCAAGAACACTTACTTGTTATCGAGTTTTTCTTTTTGGTTTAAACCAATAAATAGGAAGGTCCAAAGGGCAATACTTTACACTTTTTATCCCAATTTTTAATCCTGTTTTAATGTAAATGATGATTTACTTACAAACTGAGATAAAACCCGTACTACAAAAATCAACTTTCTGCAAACGCAATGCTCAGCAACATTAACTATGCCGCGCATGATGCCAGAAGAACCAAATGCATCATGCATCGGGCTGGATGCAGAAACAGAAGGGCCTTGGCTGCTGCAGCACCGCCAGCGCCCTCCCCTCCCCTCCCCTCCTGCAAAGAAGTGCCAGAGTGGCACTACAGCAGCCCTGCTGAGGCACTCTCTCAGAGCAAAAAGGGTTGAGGGTAACACAATCCTTTTACTAGGCACAAACCGAGGGCTGCCAAAGCAGCCCAACCCAGGTCCTAGCAGATTGGAGTCTTAAGACCAAGCCTACCGGCTGGGAAGGTGGCTCAGTGGTAGAGTGCTTGTCTTGCATGCATGAGGCCCTGGGGTTCAGTTCCTTGGCACCACATAAGCAGAAAAAGCTGGAAGCTGAAAAAGCCTTGAGCTGAAGAGCTGAGGGACAGCGCCCAGGTCCAGGGTTCAAGCCTCATGACCCAAAAAAAAAAGATGAAGCCTCCCAAGAGGAACCAGCACTGCCTTTTGTGACTTACTCTAGTAAACTGAGTGTCAATTCTACAAATTGGAGATCCACCCAAGATGAAGTTACAATACAAAGGCCCAGCCTCAAAAGAGGAAAGCCCCAGCTCCACAGAGCACATTCAGGGCGGGACACACACAGGACACGTGGGGTGACAGAGAGGACACGTGGGGTGACACACACACAGGACACGTGGGGTGACACAGAGGACACGTGGGGTGACACACAGGACACGTGGGGTGACACACAGAGGACACGTGGGGTGACACAGAGGACACGTGGGGTGACACACACAGAGGACACGTGGGGTGACACAGAGGACACGTGGGGTGACACACACAGAGGACACGTGGGGTGACACACACAGAGGACACGTGGGGTGACACACAGAGGACACGTGGGGTGACACACACAGAGGACATGTGGGGTGACACACAGGACACGTGGGGTGACACACACAGAGGACACGTGGGGTGACACAGAGGACACGTGGGGTGACACAGAGGACACGTGGGGTGACACAGAGGACACGTGGGGTGACACACAGAGGACACGTGGGATGACACACACAGAGGACACGTGGGGTGACACAGAGGACACGTGGGGTGACACAGAGGACACGTGGGGTGACACACACAGAGGACACGTGGGGTGACACAGAGGACACGTGGGGTGACACACACAGAGGACACGTGGGGTGACACAGAGGACACGTGGGGTGACACAGAGGACACGTGGGGTGACACACACAGAGGACACGTGGGGTGACACACACAGAGGACATGTGGGGTGACACAGAGGACACGTGGGGTGACACACACAGGACACGTGGGGTGACACACACAGAGGACATGTGGGGTGACACACACAGAGGACACGTGGGGTGACACAGAGGACACGTGGGGTGACACACACAGAGGACACGTGGGGTGACACACAGAGGACACGTGGGGTGACACACACAGAGGACACGTGGGGTGACACAGAGGACACGTGGGGTGACACACACAGAGGACACGTGGGGTGACACACACAGAGGACACGTGGGGTGACACAGAGGACACGTGGGGTGACACACACAGAGGACACGTGGGGTGACACACAGAGGACACGTGGGGTGACACACACAGAGGACACGTGGGGTGACACACACAGAGGACACGTGGGGTGACACACACAGAGGACACGTGGGGTGACACAGAGGACACGTGGGGTGACACACACAGAGGACACGTGGGGTGACACAGAGGACACGTGGGGTGACACACACAGAGGACACGTGGGGTGACACACACAGAGGACACGTGGGGTGACACACAGAGGACACGTGGGGTGACACACAGGACACGTGGGATGACACAGAGGACACGTGGGGTGACACACAGGACACGTGGGGTGACACACACAGGACACGTGGGGTGACACAGAGGACACGTGGGGTGACACACACAGAGGACACGTGGGGTGACACACACAGAGGACACGTGGGGTGACACACACACAGGACACGTGGGGTGACACACACACAGGACACGTGGGGTGACACAGAGGACACGTGGGGTGACACACAGGACACGTGGGGTGACACACACAGAGGACACGTGGGGTGACACACACAGAGGACACGTGGGGTGACAGAGGACACATGGGGTGACACAGAGGACACGTGGGGTGACACAGAGGACACGTGGGGTGACACAGAGGACACGTGGGGTGACACACACAGAGGACACGTGGGGTGACACAGAGGACACGTGGGGTGACACAGAGGACACGTGGGGTGACACACAGAGGACACGTGGGGTGACACACACAGAGGACACGTGGGGTGACACACACAGAGGACACGTGGGGTGACACACAGAGGACACGTGGGGTGACACACAGGACACGTGGGGTGACACACACAGAGGACACGTGGGGTGACACACAGAGGACACGTGGGGTGACACAGAGGACACGTGGGGTGACACACACAGGACACGTGGGGTTACAGAGGACACGTGGGGTGACACAGAGGACACGTGGGGTGACACACACAGAGGACACGTGGGGTGACACAGAGGACACGTGGGGTGACACACACAGGACACGTGGGGTGACAGAGGACACGTGGGGTGACACAGAGGACACGTGGGGTGACACACACAGAGGACACGTGGGGTGACACACAGAGGACACGTGGGGTGACACACACAGGACACGTGGGGTGACACAGAGGACACGTGGGGTGACACACACAGAGGACACGTGGGGTGACACACACACAGGACACGTGGGGTGACACACACAGAGGACACGTGGGGTGACACAGAGGACACGTGGGGTGACAGAGGACACGTGGGGTGACACACAGAGGACACGTGGGGTGACACACAGAGGACACGTGTGGTGACACACACAGGACACGTGGGGTGACACACACAGAGGACACGTGGGGTGACACACACAGAGGACACGTGGGGTGACACACAGGACACGTGGGTAGGATATGTTGGTACAGTCACCTCTTTAGGAAACAGGATTTGTCCACTTCACAATCAAATGGAAGTGTGTGGTATGGAGGAGGCTTTTTTTTGAGTGGGGGCTTGAGGGGGCCTTGAACTCAGGGCCTGGGTGCTATCCTTGAGCTCTTTTGCTCTAGGCTAGAACTCTACCACAGTTCCACTTCCAGTTTTCTGGTACTTAACTGGAGATGGAAGTCTCACAGACTGGACTGTGGTAGAGCGCTTGCCTCACATGCATGAGACCCTAGGTTCAATTCCTCAGCACCACATAAGCAGAAAAGCCGGAAGTGGTGCTGTGGCTCAAGTGGTAGGGCACTTGCCTTGAGCTGAAGAGCTGAGGGACAGCGCCCAGGCCCAGAGTTCAGACCCCACAACTGACAAAAAAAAGTCTCACAGACTTTCCTGCCAGGTCTGGCACTGAACTACAATCCTCAGATATCAGCCTCCTAAGTAGCTAGAATTACAAGTATGAGCCACCAGCAACCAGCTAAGGCTGACTTTTAAAAAATTGTTATTGATATGATTTACAAAAGTGTAATTAAGGGGCTAGGAAGGTGGCTCAGTGGTAGAGTGCTTGCCTTGTATGCATGAAGCCCTGGGTTCAATTCCTCAGCACCGCATAAGCAGAAAAAGCTTAAAGTGGCGCAGTGGCCCAAGTGTGCTAGCCTTGAGCTGAAAAGCTCAGGGACAGCGCCCAGGCCCAGAGTTCAGGCCCCATGACCAACCAAAAAAAAAAAAGTGTAATTAAGTCTGAATATGATTGTGATAAACAGAAGTGTCTTAATATTGTGTATACAATATATTGGTTAAAATATGGAGTACTGGTGGCCTGTAATCCTAGCTACTCAAGAGGCTAAGATCTAAGGATCAAGGTGCAAAGCCAGTCCAGCTAAGAAAGTTTACCAGAATCTTATTTCCAATAAACTACTCAGAAAAAAGCCACAAGTGACACTTTAGCTCCAGTAATAGAATGCTAGCCTTGAGCACAAAGGGGCTCAGAGACAGCACCAGGCCCCGAGTTTAAGCCCCAGACCAGCAAAAAAAAAAAAAAGCTTAGGAACAGCACCCAGGCCTAGAATTCAAAGCCCAGGGCTGGCCTAAATAAATTAAGTTAGTTGACATTTCTGATAAGTGAAAAATAGACACACTATCAAAAAATAGTGTTAGACCAATCTGCTGTTCATTTGGACAGGCAAATTAGACCCTCTAGACCCTCAACACCATAGCACCTACTTACAGGAAACAACTGAAGCTATCAGATAGAACAGAACCCAGTTATGAAATTATTAAAAGAAAACAAAGGTGAAAATCAGTCGTCATCTTTAGTTAGCTAAGACCTTAAGTAAGATACACAATCTAAAAATCATCCTTGAAATTTATACATTTCATTAAAAAGTTATGCTAGTATGAACCTCTGCATGCCAGGCAAGGCCTACACCCCCCCCCCCCCCACACACACACACACACACACTGCAGAGAGAAGTGCCCGCCCAGCAGCCTGGGCTGCCGCCTGCCGGCACACGCACCTACAGGTATTCCAAAAGCTCCATGAGCGTCATGGCCTGAGCATAGCAGAAACACCAGGACAAAGCCAGAATACACAAGAACCCAAAGCAACACGGGACAGAGCCCCGAGAAGCTGTGCTCCTCTCAGCAAAAGCTGGAGCAAGCAGCTCCCATCAGACCGAGCGAGAAGCGTGGGAAGTGTGGGATACTCACGCAGCACTCCGTCCAATAGATGTGCAGGAAGGGGAACGTGAGCAGAGCCTTGTTTCCTTCTTTGGGCAGCAGCTCCTCTTTGAATTGAACAAAGTTCGATTCTAGATGAATCATCTTTGGAGCCCGGCCATAAGACCTATAAACAAGGTTTTAAAGTCATTGAGGACACAACTAAACAATGTAAAGTAGAGGGGGGGGGGGGGGGCGGTGTGACAACTCAAAATTTAATCCTATCTGTGAGTTCAGAAGCATACAGAGTATTGACCATGAATTACATCTGTCCAAATATTTGTTTGAATTATTTGGGACACAGCTCACACTTCAATATCAAGGTGTCCTCTCCATAAAACCTCTCACTACAGTGCAGAAGACGTACATAATGATGTGCTCCTGCAAGTGTTCAGCCTATCCAAGGCTGCCCTAGACTTCCAATAATAGTTTTCCTTGTGTCCGGTGCCAGTGGCTCACACTTGTAATCCTAGTTACTCAGTAGGCTGAAATCTGAGGAACACAGTTCAAAGCCAGCCTGGGCAGGAAGGTCCATGAGACTCACCTCCAATTAACCACCAAAAAACCAGAAATGGTACTCTGGCTCAAAGTAGTAGAATGATACCCTTGAGTAAAAGGAGCTCAGGGGCTGGGCACCGGTGGCTCATGCCTGTAATCCTAGCTACTCAGGAGGCTGAGATATGAGGCTCTTGGTTCAAAACCAGCCTGGGCACGAAATTCTGTGAGACTCTTATCTCCAATAAAACACTTAGAAAACAGGAAGCAGTGCTGAGACTCAAATGGTAAAGCCTTACCTGGAGCTGAAGAGCTGAGGGACAGAGTCCAGGCCCTGAGTTCAAGCCCCAGGATCAACTTAAAAAAAAGGGCCACAACCTGCTGTCATGCATTATGTCAGTCAGGTCTCTACTCCTACACGGCGTGGTTTTAGGAAGGCAAAGCTATGAATGCACGCATTAAGTCAAAATAGTTCTTCTAGTTCTCTTCTTCCTCATAACTTTCACTCCTGTGTTTTTGAACATATTTTTTCTCTTTCTGAATGCTTAGCTAATATGCACTTATTTGAAATCCTTTATAGAGATTAGTCTACTTCTTCCAGTATTAAATCCTTCCATTTAGTGAACTGTTTTCTCCTCTTAGAAGCACTGGGCCTCCTTGTGTATTAAACAATTTTCTCAAAGAGCATCTTTCATAGTTCTGTACTCTTTATATTAAATATTAACAATTAAATGACTGCCTTGTAAGACACTGTAATCATGCACCGCAAGAGACTACATTCACCAGAGAAGCCTGGAGAAGCTGTCCCCAGACACCACAATAATCAGAGTATGCGGACAGACATGCCTAGCTAGAAATTCTATACACTCTGATTAGGACTAAAATGTTTCCCCCTGCACTGACAAGTTAAAATCCAAACGTTCCCACAAATACTATCCTATCTTAGTGAAATTACTCCAAGGGGAGGGACTGGAGACATGGCTCGGGACCATTGCTTGCCTAGTGTGCTCGCAAGGCTTTGGGCTCCATCCATCCATCACCAGCACCACAGTCAATAAACAAGTAAAAGAGAAGAAAGTCAGCTGGGCGCTGGTGGCTCATGCCTGTCATCCTAGCTACTAGAAGGCTAAGATCTGAGGATCACAGTTCAAAGCCAGCTCTGGCAGGAAAGTCCTAGAGACTCTTATCTCCAATAAACCAGGAGAAAACCAGAAGTGGCGCTGTGGCCCAAGTGGTACAGCGTTCGCCTTGAGCTGAAGAGCCCAGGGTCAGAGTTCAAGCCCACGACTGACAAAAAAGAGTGAGAGAGAGAAAGTAATCGTAAAGAACAAGGCTTGTGGACTCTGAGAAGCTGCTCCATTCTTTTTTAAGATGTACTATTATTGTAAAGGTGATATAGAGGGGTTACAGTTACACAGAAGGGAATGGGTGCATTTCTGTTTGAACAGTGTCATCTCTTCCCTCATTTTCTCCCAGGATTTCCCCTCCTGACCGCCCCTCCCCCCAAGCTGTACAGTTACTTTCAACATAGTGTCTAGTATCACTGCTGCATTTGTTCACCACTTCTCTGCTCCCTTACTCTGCTGCTTTGCTTTTCCCCCTTCATTGCTGCTTCTGATTTCTACCCCGCTCCTCTGCCCTCCACCGCCTCTCTTGCTCACATGGACCTCTGAAATCTACGGGGCTACAAGCATGGTGTCCTACCTTCTCCACTCCATCGGCTCCCTCGGAAGCTGCTGGGAAAGCGGCGGATAAATAGAGGTAAATAAGTTGTGATCTCCAGCACCTACAACAGGAATGGGGAGAAATCCAGTTACGACATTATGCAAGAAACACAGGTAAAGCTGGATCCAAGGTATATAGTTAATAGTCTCAGAATTTACTATTCAGCAAAATGTTAGCACAAAGCAAGCCTTCACTGGGCTTTTAAATGACAGCTTCGACCGGGAGCTGGTAGCTCATGCCTGTAATCCTAGCTACTTAGGAGACTAGGATTTGAGGATCACAGTTCAAAGCCAAACAAGGTAGAACAGTCCAAGAGATTCTTATCTCCAATTAATGACCAAAAAGCCAGAAATGGAGTTGTGGCTCAAAAGTAGCAGAGTGTTAGCTTTGAGCACAAAAGCTCAGAGACAGTGCCCAGACCCTGAATTCAAGCCCCACAACTGGCCTCAATCAAAAAGAAAGAAAAAAAAAGGATAGTTTCAAGAAAACCCAGCCCTTAGTGTGTGACTGGAGGAAGCCTCACACCCCTCCACTAGGGGGGTACAGCTTTCCACTGGGAAGAGACCATGAGACCCAGAACCAGCCAGCAGGGTCCCAGCCTTCTGTGCTGGGGGGGGGGGGGGGTCCTCCAGTTCTCTACAGCCACGCCACAGAGAGACAATGCAGTAGAGCGAACACAGACTCCCCCACATAATGTTCACCCAGGACCAGCCGGAGCTGGTATGAGCCCCAATGCGAGGACAGGTTACAAAGCACGGGAAGGCATCCTCCGTCAGTGAACATACAAGCACGCGGGAGCCTGGCCTCCGTCAGCCAGGCCAACTCGCAGAGCCCTGGGGGGGGGGAGGGGCTGCTGTGTCTGCCTTCCGGCCGCACGCTAACTTTCTCTCTGGCTTTCATCCTAACTTTAATAACTGAAAGATCCATTCCGTTCTCCTGAAATAACATAGCCATATCATACTTAAACTGAAAAGGAACCTTTTAATACAGATGACTAGAATTGTTATACTCAGAGGTTCTCTTTTAGGAAAACCATTTTCCTAATTGCTTTTATATTGATCTTAAAGAAGTCATTGGGAATTGGTGTAGACTATTAACACAATTGCTTATTTTGCTAAAACAAAAACAAAACAAAAGCCTCCCCACCACTGGGGAGAGAAAGGACATTTCCAGGCACGGGAGGTGTTAGATGGGAGGGCCCCAGTCCAGCCCCACCTCTGAGCACGGGACTAGGCTGAGGAACCTCGGCCTTCTGGGCTGCAGGAACAAGATGGGAGGGGTAAGGGCAGCATCCCAACAGGACTAGGGCTAAAGTGGGTCAGTGCCACACACGCAGCCTCCACAGGCCCGACCACAGCGTACGCAGCCATCACTACATCAAAACAGCTGTTCCCAACGTGTCACTTCGTACGATCATTTACTTGGTAGTCATCTTAGAATCTGTAAAGAAAATCTTCAGAGCCGGAGGTGTAGCCTGTCCACACAAAACAGAAAGTAGCAATCTTAGCTGGGCACTGGTGGCTCTCAGCTACTTCAGAGACTGAGATCCGAAGATCACAGTTCAAAACCAGTCCATGTAAGAAGTCTGTGAAATTCTTGAAGTCTGTGAAACTCTTATCTCCAATTAACAAAAAAAAATCTGCAAGTTGGGCTGGGAAGATGGCTCAGTGGTAGAGCGCTAGCCTTGAGCTGAAGAGCTGAGGGACAGTACCCAGGCCCAGAGTTCAGGCCCCATGACCGGACCCCCCCCCCCCAAAAAAAAAGAGCAATTCTATTCTCCCATGACTAACGTTTCACGTTTCACCTGGGACCTAATCCAATAGCTTATAGGCCAAAACAATACATTGGCCAAAACAATACATCTGCCAGCAGGTTTATCTGACATGCCAGGGAGCCACCTGCCTCAGTTCCCAGCACGGACCCAGTAGAGTCCCCAGCAAATCTTCACACACCTCAGAACAACTTGACTGCATCTGAAGACAGTCTCTGAAGTCGATCGCCCGACCATCCCCCATAGGCCAGAGAGCACAGTATGGGGCGTCCCTGGGGTTGCAGGGACGACAGGCAGAGGTGGACTGCTGCTTCCAGACCAAGAGAGGGCCCGGAAGCCCCACGTGCAGCAAGCTGAGCCTCTGGAGGGGAGAGAGCACAGCAGGCGGCAGCAGTGTGGCCTTATTTATGGAAGGGTCTTTGTAGCTAAAATAAGCTCAAGATCTCAAGACTCGGTCACGGAGATTATCCAGGCAGGCCTAACTCCAATGACCAGTGTCCTAGGAAGGATAAGAAGACGGCCATGAGAAGCCAGGTGGAGCCACAAGAGGAAAGGAAGGGGGGGAGGGGAGAAGGGGGAGGGGGAGGGGAGGGGGAGGGGGGGAGGGGAGGGGAGGGGAGGGGGAGGGGGCGGGGGAGGGGAGGGGAGGGGGAGGGGGAGGGGAGGGGAGGGGGAGGGGGAGGGGGAGGGGGAGGGGAGGGGAGGGGGAGGGGGAGGGGAGGGGAGGGGGAGGGGGAGGGGAGGGGGGAGGGGAGGGGGGAGGGCGGGAGGAAGAGAGCATGGCCTGACTTCAGACTTCTGCCTCTAGAACTGTGAGAAAATGGTCATTTGTTGTCTGTTTTCTTAGTGGAACAGGTGCTTGAACTCAGAACCTCAGGCTTGGTACAGTCATGCCCCCAGCCCTTTTCAGCGTTTGTTTTCAGAACGCGAGGCTTGAACCCTGGGTCTGGGAGCTGTCCTTCAGCTCAAGGCTAGCACTCTACCACTTGAGCCAGAGCGTGCCACTTCCGGTTTTCTGCTGGTTCATTGGAGATAAAAGTCTCATGGAAAGCAGGGTGCTGGTAGCTCACACCTGTAATCCTAGCTACTCTAAGGATCATGGCTCAAAGCCAGCCAGGGCAGGAAAGTCTCTAAGACTCTTATCTCCAATAAACCACTAGAAACCCCGGAGGAGGGGGGGGGGGGGTGTTAGTCTCAAGGACTTCCCTTGCCTGGGCTGGCTTTGAACCTGGATCCTCAGCTCTCAAGCTTCCTGAGTAGCTAGGATTACAGGTGAGAGCCACCAGTTCCGGCCAGGCCTTGTTTTTCTGATAGGATCTCAGTAACTATTGCCCAGACTGCCCTTGATCCTCAATCCTTCCATCTCCACCTCCTGAGTAGCTGGAATTACAGGTTTCTGGCACCACACACAACCCAACCCTCAGTTGTTTATTGTGTGTGGTTTTGTTGGGAAGCCCTAGCAAACTAATACAGGTAGTTTAAAGTCAAAACTTAGAATGTGCCTTTTTTTTTCCTAGTGCTATTTATTTTTACTGCTCTTTTAGACATGAACAGGTAGAGGTAAATGGCAGAGCTCTTGCATATCAAGGGCAAGGCCCTGGTTTCAATCGTAAGTAGAGTAAAAATAAGTTTTAAAAGTAAATGAACAAGGCTGGGAAGGTGGCTCAGTGGTAGAGTACTTGCCTTGCATGCATGAGGCTCTGGATTCAATTCCTCAGCACCACATAAGCAGAAAAAGCTGGAAGTAGCACTGTGGCTCAAGAGGTAGAGCACTTGCCTTGAGCTAAAGAGCTGAGGGACAGCGCCCAAGTGCCCGGGCTCATAGTTCAGGCCCCACGACCAACAAAACAAAAAACAAAAAAACTGGCTGGTGCTGGTGGCTCACGCCTGTAATCCTAGCTACTCAAGAGGCTGAGAGCTGAGGATCACCGTTCAAAGCCAGCAGGGCAGGAAAGTCCCTGAGACTCTTATCTCCACTCAGAAAATGGGAAGTGGTGCTGTGGCTCAGCCTTGAGCTGAAGGGCTGAGGGACAGCACCCAGGCCCAGAGTTCAAGCCCCACGACCGACAAAAAAACAAAACAAAACCCTAATCTATTAAGAAGAGAAGAGCAGGCAAAAGGGCTCAGTATCACTGATCTTTAAGGAAATGCAGATGAACTAAAATCAGGCTCACTGTTCTGGGGAGGAAGACAGCTAAGTTTGGGAGGCGGTGGGGGCCGGAAGGCCTGTGTGCTGCAGCGGGAAGGGCAGGAGCAAAGCCTCGTGGGCACCAGCGCATGGGTTCCTGGAAAGCAAGCCTAACATATGCCTCTCACGTGGCACAGCCGTGCTCTCCAAGGGCCCCACGTGATGAACAAAAACACGCCACACACACACGCGCGTGCAGCCCGGTGCTCCTGGCAGCATTCCTCACAAGAGACGTCCGATCACGGACTAGATCCACGAGGGGTGGGGCGCTGGGCAGACCTGGCATGTCGGGCTGCATATGGCACGAGTCACTTACACACAATGTCTAGAAAACACGCCGTTCCAGACACAGAGAGCGCACGAGGGCGAGCTGCGGCAGGGCAGGGATGAACAGCTACGAGCACCAGGGACTGTTGGGCAGAAGGAAAGCGCTCTACGGCTGAACTGCCGTGAGCACCTACAACGCAAAGTTCACCAGCACTCCTTGACCTGTACGCAGCCGGCAGCCCGGAGCTCCACGGCGCCCATCATGAGGATCCTGCTGGCGTTTCCCTCCAGCCCCCAGCCTGGCGCGGCGCACATGAGCGCCGCCTGCGTGCTGAGGCGGGCTGAGGCGGCGCTCCTGGGGTGACAGGCAGGTAAGGTGCTCACCTCCGACCCCCACCCGCATCTAGACGCCTCACCCGCTGCTGCTGCCTTGCTGCTCTGTTCACACCCTTGCCTTTTTTTTTTGGTCGGTGGTGGGGCTTGAACTCTGGGCTTGGGCGCTGTCCCTGTGCTCTTCAGCTCTGTTCACACCTTTTTAAGGTTTAAAGCCCGCTTTGTGGAGTCAAAGTGAGTCTTCTTCTAGGGCCTCGTTCCAAACCACACAGGGCTCTCCCCTCACCGCCATGTTCTCCTCGGAAGCCCTCTGACCTGACAACCTAACTGCGTGCAGACACAGCACGCCACCCAGCGCGCAGCCGCTTCATTCCTTCACTGGACTGACAAGTATTCCTCCATTTCCACACCAATGTGCCTGTGTCAAAAGGCTAAGCGTGCTCAAATGACCTGAGCGCGCCAAGCCATTCTCTACCTGGGAGGCGCGGTGAGAAGCCCTGCA